TTCAATCAACTTTTTTTATTTTAATTATAGAAAGCTGTAGAATTCAAAAAAAAAAAAATTGATCAAATTTAGTCAGGTGGGTGTCAAGATATCTTTGATTAAATTTAAAAAAAAATTCTAAAAATTTAAAAAGGGTGTGGCATTATCAATTTCCTATATATATATAATTTTGTCCAAATTTAGTGGACAAGGTGTCCAAAACCAAAACTGTCCAATTTCCCAGCACTGTGCCGAGATATCTTCGCTGAAAGTTACAATAGAAAAAAAAATAAAATAAGACTGTTCGCCATGCCATGCCATCAAATACTGAAATATATGCATATATCACTGTTATCTGTATTACCTGTTACGTAACACCGATCAAACAGTTTACACATTTATTTAGAGATTCACACGATATCGATATTTTTTAAACCTCTTCACTTTATAATATATGGAAGACGATACTGATCCCTTTGAAACTTCACAAGAAAATAATGTAAAATCGCAAAAACTTTCTGTTTCACTTCCACAAGATCCTTCAAGTAGCGCTAAATCTATCTCTGAACGTTCTAGTCCATTATCCGAAACTCGGTTAAATGCTTCATTTCCTGACGTAACTCAGTTGAAATTGAATAAATCATCGGAGGATGAGGAAGAATACATGATTGAATTAAGATTGAACGAAGGCAATAATATGCGTTGCTATACTTATGATGAAGAGGTACCGGATTTGCCCAGTGACTTGGTAATTAATGAGGAATGTATTTCAGGGTCCAAAAATTGTGGTCTGTCAAGTGATCAAGCATTAGAGTAAGTTTTTTTTTTTTATTCATCTATTTATTTGTTCTTTTACAATCACACTTATGTATTTTTGTATATAATTTATAGAAAGTTGGTCAAAGTAACAAATGACATTCTTGCTGAACACAATTCACCATTGCAAACCAACAAGCGTATGTCCTTTTCATACGTACTCCGTGATTCTTAATATGATCATTTTTTCATCATATTCTAATAATTCTAATATGTTTCACATTGTTATAATCTAGTTCTTTGCGAATTCTTGATCCGTCCAGACACTATTCTTGCTTTATCGTCGGTTGCTATTTTAGTTGCTTTTTATTTATATGGCTCCATAATTAGTAATCCCTACCAATTTCGCTTAAATGCGATTTTGGTTGAGTCATTTGTAATCCTTGCGTTTTTGGTGTTCAATGGATTTCTATATGTTAGAGAAAAAAAGCTAATCTTTTTGGAAATTAATGAGCGTGCAAAAAATATTATTAATCAATTAAAACAAAGTGGATTAAATACTATTCAGGTATGATTTATATATTTCATTAATATTAATTAGCTCAAAAATTTTTTTATTCATATAATTTTAAATTTTACTCGATTTAGGATATTAAAATACCTTTTGTTCCATCAATAACAGTTGCCAAAGTTGTACGTGATGGCTTTGTACGAAGTTTCCCCACAACTTTATTGGCAGAAGGTGACGTTGTGGAAATGTTATATGGTGATATTGCTCCATGTAAAATGGAATTAATTTCTAATAACGTTCCAAAAGAGTTTTCTACAAAACAATTGGAACTATCTCAAGTTTTTAAGCCTTCATTTTTTAATGGAATGTCTTCAAAAGATTTATGGGAGCATTACATTAAAAATAAAGGAAGATATCAATTTGTCCTTTTGGAAACTCCTTGGGAAAATTGCTTAAGAGCTGTATTTAAACAAAAGCGACCTGCAACAATCATTGTAAAACAAGCTGAGGTTTTAGCACGTGTCTTCCTTTATCGACTTATATTCGCCATACTTGGTTTAGCTTTCGCAATTAATCTTATAAGATATATATTAACTGAAGTGATAAGAGGTTATCATTATGATCAAGCTTTTGAAATGTTGTTAGTGTTGCCGATATATTCGATAATTCCGATAATACCATTAGCATTTCCAATATTATGGATTATTACACGTAGTTTGGCAAATGCCACTCTTTTGGTTTTATTTGAAGCCTTACAGATATCCAAAACGGAATATGAAGAATATGATGAAATGGATGAATTTGATGCTGAAGCTCCTCCACCCACGAAAAATGTTCAGATTGATAGAGGTTTACTTAATACTTTTAAATATACTTTTTATTTATTTATCTATTTATTTATGTTAATGTGTATATTTATTTATTGATAGATGCTGTATGGAATAAATTTAAACATTTATTCACAGCACGAGATGGTGAATTACTTTATCGCTCAACAAATTTGTTTGAATCGCTTGGAAGCGCTACAGTTATTTGTTCACTTGACCGTGAAGGTACTATTTCATCGGTATGTTATTATTTACTGATTTACATAGGAAACTAGGTTCTTTATTAAAAACTCATTGATAGAATTAAACTATAGCCTTTTGGTAAGTCTTAATAATTTTATACTTATTTCGCATAAAATAAAAATCAACTATAATAATAATTTAAAAATTTTAAGCATCGGTTGATCAAATTTTGTTTCCAAACGAAGAAGAAGATATAACAGTTCTTGACATAGCGGAAGATCCAAGTACTTCCTTTCGTGTTAAATTTGAGGACCAAGACTGGGATCAACATTTATCGTATGTAAGAAAAAAAGAAAAAATTTTTTACTTTGTTTATTGTTGTTTACTATTTACATTTATCATAATTTTCCAGTCGTCTTAAGCCTCTTGGCCTGAATCTTTTGTTAAATACAAATTGTGGCGTGTTACAAGGACGAAAACGTGCCGAACAGCATAGAAAAAATTCTAGCTTTCAAATTCATGCCAAGATAAACCCTGCAAGACAATGTAGGTCAATATCATACGTAATACTTATTATTTATTTACGTTCAAATCATATAAATGAACTTTTCTAAATTTACAATATAGCATGTTTATGTCGTCTTGGTAAAGAAATTGGATTCACCGATGACGCTCTTCAATCTTTTATAAAGAGAAAGGAACTATTTGTAACTGCGCCATGTCATCCGTCGTTAAAAGAGCGTATGGCAAAAGACCAATGGGAAGTTCCTAGCATGCTTTCTTCGATTTACGAAGAACTTAATTCAGGTTTTTTTTTTGTCCTTAATTTATTATTTTCCATCCTTTATAAGATTTATATATATATATATTTTTTTTTTTTTTTTGTTAGGAAGTTGTCAATTATTATCTGATGGAAATATGGATATGATACTTGATAACTGTTCTGATTACTGGAATGGCCAAAGTCTGCAACCTATGAGCGAAGTGGTTAGTTAATATCATTATTAAAGTTTTTTTTTTTGAATATAATATCATTACATGTAGTAATTTATTTAATATATGTAGGTTGAAAATAAGATTTATGATTTTTATCAAAATGCTATAATTAATGACATGCAATGTATTGCGTATGCATATCGTCCAATAAATGTTGTAAATGGAAATAAAATCCCATTTTTAAACTCGAAATCACCTGATTCAAATGATACTTATATTGTATTGTCAAGTCCGCCAGAGGCTGAAATTATACTTGATAATGAAGATAATGAAGATGAAGATCTTACCAGATCACAATTGATTAGATTATATCGCCTGAAACATGGCTTATTGGAAGCAAATCTTCATGATTTTTCTTTTGACCAAGAAAATTTAACTTCTCAAGATAAAGACTTATTTTATCAAGAGGTTATTCAGGGACAAATTTTCTTGGCAATGGCAACACTTTGTCATCAACCTAAGCCAGTTAGTTTTTTATTTTAACATTGAAAAATCTTTGAAGCAAAATTATAATATTTTTATATATGCTAGGATGTATGTAACTTTATCGAAGATCTCAGATTAGCTGGTATTCGGTTTGTTTATTTCTCTCCCAATGGAGAAAGAGAAAGCAAAGGTTAGATAAATCTTTAATATTCACTAATTTAAGCATTATAATAACAATATGTTAATTACCTTAAATTACTAATTTAAAGCATATGCAGAGAGACTTGGTCTTGAGACTGATTGGAATACTTGTATTTTGCTTTCTTCACCTGGTGATGAAAATTCCCTTGGAGGTGGTTATCTAGAATCTCATGACATAAAAGCTCGTCTTCCACGTGGGATCGTTAATATAAGGGAACATTTAACGGTATTAAAGTTTTAGGTTTTTTTTTTTTTCATTATTCAAGATCTATGAATTTGATTAATATTGTATTCTAAAGGAGACAGACGACATTCCATTGCAAGTTTCCTTATTTTCAGAGTGTACATCTGAAACGACACAAGAGATGATTAAAATACTTCAAGAGTACGGAGAGGTTGTGTGTTGTGTTGGAAGCGCACTGAACGCTTTTAATACACATAACTTTGCTGTGGTATGAATTTGATTGCACTCACATGTATAAAATAATAAAAAGCAAATATATTGTTTTTCATGCGTGATTTTTGGTCACATTCAGGCAGATGTAGGTGTTGCTATTGAGCCTATGTACACACGTGCACAATCCAGGAATGGGCTATGTCACTTAGGCACCAAAGGGCAGTCTCCTATGGCTCTTGGTGCTGCTCTCACGACTTTGCCATGTGGACTATTTATGTATTATGATACGAGTTTGTATGCTCTCACCGATATAATACGTGAATCTAGGCGGTTAATTAATGGTCTGAGGATGGTAAATATGATTTTTATTTTATTTTGAACACAATATTAGTATTTATTATTCATAATGTTTTTATAGGGAGTGTCATTTTTGTGTGGCACATATCTTTCTATCTCACTCTTATTTCTGTTTTCTTATTGTATTATCCTACCGCCTATATTTACCGGTTATCAAATATTATGGGTTGCATGCATTATTTCACCTATGCTAGCATTGTCATTTCTCTTTAGTCCTCATGTCGCAGATACTATGACAACAATGACAGGTACGATACTGTTAAATGAATCCTTAATTAAAAATTATAATTTTTTTATTAATGGCGATATATATATATATATGTATAAAATTACAGTTAAAAATATTGATCATCTTCCCGATTTGTCAAGATTTTTACTTTATTTCCTATTAAGATTTTCATTGCCAATTTTAATGTCTCTTTGCATGTTTGTTATGTATGTAAATTTATATATATATTTAATTTTTCTACTTGTTCTTATTAATTAATATATTTTTTAGGTATCTATATTATTTTGGTAAGGTGGCATTGTTCGGATCTTTTGGAAATGATGGATGGTTAAGATGGTCTTATGAAGAACAATGGGTACTTATCTATGCACAAAATTGTACATTATTTGTATTTGTATGGTCTTTGGGTGAGGATAGGCTTTAAATTTATTATTATTATTATATTAAAAAAAATTATCTAATTGCTTTGTTGTGTAAATTTTGGATATACTTTTAAGCTTGTATATCGTGTACTTTTGTAAACCGCACGTTACCAATACATAAATTCAATCCGTTGCGGAATCACGTCTGGATTTATGCATTTATTGCAAGGTATTATTATTTGAATTATGTTACTATTATTTCCTAATAATTTTAAATTATTTTAGATTATTGTATATTTTGACACTTTGCGATTTTCAAAACTAAACAGCATAATTTTGCAAGCAATATTTACCGCGATATCATTATTGCTAGGACCAACAGTATTATTATTTAAAGTACCCTATTATATTTACTTAATTGTACTGTTGGCACCAATAATAGTGTTTATACCAATACAGGAGGTTGTTAAGATGCATGATAAAAAGGAATATGATAGGTTTCAAAAAAGATCAAAATTATTATTCAAGTATGTATGCTTTAAATTTTATATGATTTTTAATAATAAATTAAACTTTTATTAATTTCTTCCCCTTCTGATGAATCAGTACTAAATTAGGAATGCATTCTCCGGTTTAATTTATAATGAACATTATTGATAGGAAGTTATCATTTGTAATAAAGCATGGACTTGCTTGTGTATTTTAGTAAATTGGGTTATTGAAATAAATTATATTTATTTTGTTAAAAGCTAACTTTGACTATGATTACACTGGCAATTATAAGTAATGAAACACGTGATAATTTTTATAATACTGTAAAACATAGTACCTATTGAAATCTTCACTCTATAATAAAAAATTTTTTATATCAGAATAATTTCATCAATTGTAGTTTCTAAAAAAGATTTTTTCGGATTTTTTAAAAATTTTTATAGCAAAGTTGTTCTAAAGTCAAAACTCTAAAAAATTTTATAAGTAATATTTATAAGAAATTTTTACTAGAGCTTCAATCTTTTTTTTTTTTTTTTTGGTATTAAGGTGATCTCTACGGCCAGAGATTTTTTATTAAGTAATAGATAATGTTTTACAATTACAATAAGGGTATATCAAGCCACATGTGCACTTTTGGTGCCTAATTTAAGTAGTTTGTCTAAAGGTTTTATACTATTTGCTATACCTGCATTTTAACTACAGGGGATACCTATTTAAACCCTCTGGTTACAACTGCCATTGTCTATCAATCTAACCCTAGATATTGCTTACTATACTAAGTAGATTTTGCTATCTACGGGATCCGTGAAATAGAAATGTAATATCGATATGCTTAAATTCTAGTTTAGGAAATGGTGGGACAAAAACAGGCTTACGTATAAAAATTTAAGCGTCTATATATGGATGCTTGACGGTTTCTATTACAGCTGTTTTCATTATTCCTGGGACACCTATAAAAAATTAGCTGAAAAAAATTTTTGGCCGGTAATTTTTTCGGCATTAAAAATTGATATAATACTGTAATATATACGTAATTTAAAATCAGGTGGCTAATATAAATAAAAAATTATGCACATGAATTCAAAAAAGATTTTAACATGATTGTGTAATGCACATGCTTGGGGATATAAATTGATGATTCATCAGGAAATTTTTAAATAGGATGGATATCGATTACCAGCTACAGGGGCGATTGTCATCGATTAGAAAAATCGATAATAATCAATATTGGTTACTAATCAATACACAATCGATGAAAAAATAATTGATTTTAATTTGTTTTGATGCTAATCGATTTTGAATCAAGCGATACTAATCAATATTAATCAATTTTAATCAGCATAAATCGATTCTATTCTGTATCGCTGGCAATCGACAGGGGTGCTACTTATTGATTGACATTTCCATCTGTTAGCAAGACCGAAATGTGTGACAGGTTACGCCAATCATCAAATAATCTGCCTGACCCAGTGTATCCAGGAGCAGGTAAATTGACTATGATCTCATAATGATGATAGTGGGCTATAGCACAGCGTCCGGCGTACATGCTATCAGGACCGGCACATTTTCCGATCACGCCCGTTACACATAGTAAATGTCACACTTACGATTACCCAAATCGGCAAAATCGGACGATCCAAATAATTGCCAAAATTGGCAACCCGATTATCTATCAAAATATTATATTAACAATCTTTGATTATAAATCTTCGCGCTTATAAATATCTTTATAGCTTATTAATCATATCATTAGTAATAGCCATTAGTCATAGCTTACAAATCTAGCATTAGTAAACATTAGTTAGTAATCTTTATAGCATAGTCTTCTTGAATGTATAAATACGATAGCTTTTGACCTTTGAAACATTAAGCCGTAAGCGGCTCACCCTTAATAATACAATAGTTAGATCTTAAAAATCATCCATAATAACGCCCAAGCATTAATAAGAAATATATATATTAGTGCTTAAGAAAGCGTTTCAGCCCAGCTGAAAGCAGCTCATAAAGCTCAGATAACAACGTCCATAACAACTCTCATAGCTTAAAAACAAATAAGCTCAACACCCTGATGGTATACTAGAACATCAAAGCGCCCAACAACATTATAATAAACATAACGCCTAAGCTTTACTAAAACAAACACCAAAAGCGCTCATCAAAAGCTTTAACTCAAATAGACCTTAACACACAAAGGTTAACTATCTGACACCAAACAATGAATCAAAGAGACCTATTCACTTAGTAATCTCTGACAATACATAACGACAATGGTATCATAAACAATACCAACAAACAATAGCACTTAAAACATTGTATATAATCATATTATATAAATACTATATAACGGGACGTTAATGGAGCAACCTGAAGCTTAAACCATAACAAGGACTTAGTAGAGCTAACACCCTTAATAAATACATACCTGTACTTCATATTAAATAGTATATTAATAAATAAATTATCCAAATTTATCAAATATAAACCATTTGTGTAAACAATTAGTAAAACCTATAATCCTTCTAACAAACAAACTAAAGTAAAAAAGTAAATTAGACACCCAACACAGTTAGTATCATCTAACGAAGCCTAAGATAGGCATAATAGTAACCAAGTAGTATCAGAGGCCTTATCCACCTCTGTATAAATAATAAACCATTCCATAGTAGAAAGACACAGTCTAGCCCGCCGTAGTAAAAGAAATTAGTAGCGCAAAAAGGCGCTCACAATACTAAAAAACCACATCCAACACTAATTAGTATAAACCAAAGGCGTCCAAATAAACTGAAAATATACCAAAACTATCCAAGCAAAAAGCAAACATATTGACTAACTGAATAGAGCTTAACCAACTCTTAAGCCGTACAATTGAAAGAAAGCTTAATCTAATTAGAAAAATTAACCATAATCAACCGAATCTGACATCGACGACCAATAAGGCTGAAAAGGCTAACACGAAACCTTATCGTTGAAACCACAGGAGTAATTAACCTAAAGGACAACTATATCGAAACCACCAGAAATTAGTAATTCAACAATACGAATGTCAAACTTATTATTACAAAGCATAATATGCTTAATAATCATAGTATTAGTAATATACTGCTTACAAATACGAATCTTCAACGCTGACGTTATAAACGTAACAATTGCATTACCAAGCAATACTCAAACTGCCGCAACAATTAATAATACTGTAACTCAAACATCTTTGATTACAAATCAACCAGACTTCTTTCAGAATAAAGAAGCAATAAATACATTTATTGCATTAATAATCGCCATATTAACCGCAATAACTACCATAATTGGAATAATATTCTCATATAAAGGAAAACTCAGAAAAGTGAAATAACATGTATCAAGATTACAAAACTCTGCATTACCTCAGTACAATCCTTAAAAATAAATTGCTGAAAAAGAACAATTGGATTAATAATCACAAACCGCTAAATAATACATCAACATGTGTATGATTACAACAATCATATTAACAATCATAATAGAATTAATAATCATAATATTAATAATATTATTTACAACAATATTAATAATCAACAATCAAACATTATATCACGATCTTACAAATCAATATTAATAATCTTTGATGACTGAAACTAATTCAACAATTAGTTGTAATACCTTTAATAACAATCCCTTAGCTGGACAATTGCTTTACGGATTAATAATTGAAACCTTTATTGCATTACTAATCATAGTAATATTTTATTGTTGTTGTAAACACCAAAGATATAAAAAGAAGGTCAACAAGAGCATACCTGGAGCAGATCAATATCTACAAAC